ATAATTTTCATTTGTGTAATTTTTAAAACATAATTTTTTTAAAAAGCTGCACCATAATAAAAAAATCTGCAGACTTAAAGAAATATATCCATATTCCTTCTGTATTAATAAAGTAAAATATTATTCTGGGAGCAATGAACTTCTGTGGCAATGTTCACGTTCTACCTTTAGACATTATGGACATTCATTGTTGGACACACACAAATTTAAGAAGAAAGAGTGGTCCTACTTAGCTTTATATAGTTCCTCCATTGTCTTGCAGCCAATTTAAAAAAATTTAATGGCCAAGTAATAACACAAAGAAGATTGATTTGATAAGGGTAATTTGATTGAAAAGAACAAATTTAGTAATGTAAAGTGCTTATTAATTCTCCCTTTGACTATTATTTACCGTATTTTGATTAGATTTACTATTTTTTTAAACTAGGCTTAATCTAAACATGTATCTGGCAGTCACTTCCTTCTGTGATAGAAACTGTTGTCTGAAAGGTAAAATGTGCAAGTCCCCATTCTTAATATTCATATATTATATACACAATATGTATACACTTAAAATATAAGAGTTACATATCCTGGTCTCTTACATGCAAACAGTAGATCACAAATAGTTTTGAGCTACACATATATCTTGCACAGGTATTGGAAAAAAAATCTGTGAAATTTTTTTACAGTTTTAACAAATATACATAAATATAAGAACATAAATTACAGTAAAATATTGACAGCATTTGAGAAAATGTTGATAACCCAGATGCACTGATGCCTAAAGGCCTTATAATAATAGAAAAGTACAGTTCAGAGACATCTCATTCCTATTCTCTTTTAAAATAAGTAAATACATCATATGAGATATTATTTCTCTAAACAACTCAATTAGAGAAATGTATATATTTTAGTCTCTACTTCCCACAAAAGAAAACCAACCCTGCATCTCATTTATGATACAATACTGTCTCTCCCCTCTACGTGTACAGTTGTCACAACACTGAAACATAACAGGGTCACATAATCATTCAAGTCTTTTCCTGAGAATGAAGTTTTTCCCCAACTAACCCTCTGATATACATTGTTAAAGGAACAAAGATCATGTAGAGAAGATTTCAAGTGTGTACTTTAAGCTGTTCCACTTGAAAAGGATAAAAAAAGAAAAACTCAATATAAGTAAAATAATGTGAAGCTATTTTAAAATTAAAATGTAGCCCTTTGTACATGTTTAAAAATTCTAAATATAATTTTTGTATCAGTTATAAATATAATGTAAGGACCTCTTGAGAACTTGTGGCAGGAAGTCTTACATCTTCAGATTGAAAGACTACTCTCAAAGTGTCCTTCACTTCTGCCAGCTTATAAAGTGACTTACTTTAAAAGAGATAGAAATCCTTTTTTGTTAAAAGAACAATCTAAATTATTCTGAGTTGGCCAGAAGTGGTGTAAAAACAGCACTGATTTAATCAGCAACTTCTTATAACATATTCTTGGTTAAGCTCATGTGGTTTAAAGCGAACCTACTAGCAGCTCTTTACAATACCTCCTCTTATTTAATAGAGAAATGTTAATACTTGAGTGAATAATAAATACAGAATTGTAAATACTTAGAATAATCCTTGCAAATGCTCTAACACCATTAAAACATGAGGGTTATTGTAAAACTAAACACTAGTGTTTGTCTTAGCATCATAAGAAAGGTGCGAGTTACCTCTGAAGGCGCATTTCCTATGCTCATGATCTCCACATGAAACAAAATACAAAGGTATCTTAGATTAAACCCCCAGGAGAGAAAAACAGAAAAATAAACCATCTGAAGACAAGAACGTACATTAAAAAGTTAAAAAAAAAATAAAACACATAATTTGTAATCTTAGCCATGTTTCAACCATAAGTCCAACTAGTGTCCATGAGAATTCAGTGCTTCAATGTGTCTACTATCAAGCAGGTGAACCCGATGACACAAACCTCCATTTGTGAATCAGAACATTTCCTTCATCACTTGGACTTAACCACCTATGTGAGAATCTTCTGCACTCCAAAATACTGTGGCTTACATTCCAGTTGTTCATGACAACAGAGCTTAATGTTCAGTTTCAATTAATAAAAGTTTTGTTGGCAATTAGAAAGATTTTCTATAGGCAGGAAAGATGAAGTGCAAATTTACCACGAATGTTCTGAAGCAAGTATTTCCCAACTCCTATGCTTTAGTGGGTAGAAGTTTTTTGGGTGTTACTGGTCTCTTGGTCTGCCATAAATGACTATGAATGGTAATCGCATCAACACTGGCAGATAAAGTTTTAGCAGGTATGTGGCTAAACTGTTTCCTGTCAGAATTATATTTGTAAAGTCCCTCAATCATTTTTTTAGTGATAGATTTAGGGCCTATCCCAGTCAGTTTATTAATTTCTTCAGTTTCTGGGCAGTAAGTATACAAAGACCTGAATTGGCAGCCTGAATCCCGGAACAAGATTAAAAAGTTGTTGGCATCTGACTTCTCCATTTCCTTCAGAATAAAAAACAAAACAAAACAATAAAAACTCTTAAACATTTCACTGTATAAAATTTATATAACTGTTTTACACCTATCTTGGTCAAATATTATGATATTTAAAATATAAATTCTGAAGAACTAAAAATGTATATTATAAAAGCAAAGTACACTTTAATTAACAATGTATGTGAACACTTCACTTCTGAGGTTCTGTTGGCTCTGTGTGGATATTATTATCGTGCAGGAAGATATGAAATATCTGCTAAATCTTGATCTTAGTCAAACAACCATTAACAAACCAGGCACTGATTATCAACTTTGCAATAGAGCTTCCTTTTAAAAAAGGAAAATTACGTTACTTACATTTATAAAACATGAACAAGTAGCTCTGGGCAAGAAAAGAACTTATAATTTTATATTATTATCTAAGTCTCTCCTAGTCTTAATTAAGTCCGCAGTCTTCTAAAATCCTGTTTGAAAGTGAACTAACTCAATCTAAAGTTAAACATAGCTACAGATCTTTTATACACTGTTGAAATCCTAGGAGGGGATGAAGGGTATTTTCTCTCGAACTGGTAGCAGAGAAGACTCCTATAATTTTAGAATACTGCCAAATTTAATTTTCATGCAAACATACTTACCTCCAGTATTTTTTTCTTCTGACCTTCATTTACTTTTCCAGCCAAACAGCAATGAGCTAAAGCATTTTGTATTATGTGCTTATTGGATTTTGCACTGGGTTCTTTGTAGAGCTTTGGTCCTGTGATAACAATTTAGCAGCAAAATAAAAATACCATTCCTAAGTCAGAAATACTACTATGTTTAAATGATATAATTGTTCCTATATTGAGGAAACACTAACAAAAAATCAAAAGTCTGTGCCTAAAGGCCTCTGAGTGGCTGTACTCCAATTGGAACATTGTTTTATCCACACAGGGAGACATCTTAAGGACCTTGCCAAGGCTGCTCTGAGACAGTAGTGCTAAAATCAAACAGGTCGTAATTGCCACACTGCTTCACCTTCTTTCTCAAGTCTGCTAAGGTTACCAGTGAACTTAAAGCAGAATGGGCCCAGGAGTAATTATAGCTTTTAAAAAGACAAGAAAAGCTTCATCTTTTTCTTCATCCACATACCTGAGTTTTTTAAGCATTTGTTTTCTTTAACCAATTCTACTCCTCGGTCTGCAAAGCAACGGAAGTACCTTCTGCCATTTTCCCGGAAGATTCCTACTAGGAAGGATAGTAAAGTACAGACTCCCTATTTCATACTGACTCACCTCTGTGCCGGAAGGCAAGGACTGTCCTTACCCTTCATAGTGAGCCGAGAAACCAGCCCTGATTGGCAGCATTTATGTCTTTCTGTGATATAAATCACTCCTACCATGGCTACTATCAAGCTACCAATGGTTCTGCAGCTGGCATAATTCCTGAAAGTTTAACAGTTTCAAGAGCCCTATGGTAGGAGCTAGTCCAGCATACCACTGCCACTGTGTAGCTCTAGGTTTGAAACAGTGCCTGGCAAATATGCTTGTTAAGTGAACTTACATAGAGAAGCAGAGGGAAAAACAAGGAAATACCATCCAATTCCTGGCATTAAACGCTGTCCCACCGGCTACAGGAGGAGTGAAGTGCACATGGGAGGTCAGCAAGTTCTAACCTCCTTAGGCCTTCATGGGGCTTCCATTTCCAGTGGGTCACATGCGGACAGAGGCAGTCTCCACTGCCCCCTGCTCTCCCCCTGCATGTTCTCCTATGCCTTTCCACTTTAGATCCCAATGGCTGCTCATGTTTCTTCTCATTTTCTCTCCTGCTTCATTTCTTTACAGGTGTCTTACATTTTGTTCTTCAATCTGCTTTTGTTTCAGTAATGCCTACCCAAATAAAGGCTGGAAGAGGATCAGACGTGAGGCTGGATGCCTTCCCGGATCCAATGCATTCTTATCTTTTAGAGCCCCTTCATACTTTGTTGTTGTTGTTTTTAGTAGGCTCTATGCCCAACATGGGGGTCAAACGCACAACCCCTAGATCAAGAGACAGAGCCTGCTAGGTGCCCCCACCCCAGCTTAATACATTTTAAAGATGCACAACTCTAGATACCTGAAATCCCAATGTTAGAGAGAGGGCTTTGTGGATTCTAGCCTTTTCTCAGTACTCAGGACCTATGTATTGCTGACAGAACCTCTCTAAAACTTCTTTAGACCCAAACCACAACACAGATATGGTCAGCATCTTAAAAAAAGAAGTAGAGGGATGAGGTGTAAGTGGTACGGCTAATTTTGTTTAGAAACTGATCTCAATTCATCTGGGACAAGTCACTGCCTCCCTAAGTACAACCGCATCACAGAAACTGACCTTCCTGAAAGGTACCATCTGCACTCAGTGTTCTTGATCAGATCCCCCCGTGTCTAGACCAAGAGAAGAGCCCATGAAACTTTCATTAGGATAGCCTGTATTTGTTCTCATGACTGTATTAAAATGTCTCCCTAAAAATACAGACCCTGACCTGTGTATTCTGTTCCAGAAGCCACTGAAGAAGTTGTTGATGCATTTTCCCAGTCCTTCTCCCCGTTTCGACTGCCGCAACGACTTGGAGACAAGAAGCCTTCTACAGACTCAGATCTAAATGGTAAATAAAACATTTTTTATGTCTCAAACAGAAGAATATTTGGGGGTCAGAAGGGGTATATGTGAAAGTACCAACCAAAATCAACCTAGAAGCTTAAAAATCAAAAGATGGCGTAGCTGCCTTATTCCAGCTATACATCCAAGTGCCTGGATACAACAGGCACTCCGTATGTACCTGCTCACTGAGAGGATCAATGTTTTCCCACATGAAAACTGGCAATTACCGCAACAGGATGGTGATACAAAGATCACAACTCAGAACTCATGCCTGTCACTACATTCTAGGTTTGAAACAGTGACTGGCAAATATGCTTATTAAGTAAACTTACATAGGGAAGTACACACATTCTCTTTCTATATGGGTATTAGAGTATCACGTAATGAAATAGAACTTCAGTTTCTAATCTACATCCAAGAGAGACAGTACAAAAGGGATTTGTCCCAAGTTAGGCAGCCTACTTTGGAATTATTCTGCCAGAGGCGGGGGGAGTAGAGAGGCTGGCACTTATATAGATGATGTGCTATTTCTGCACACTATGATTTTACCACAACCATGTCAGCAATTACTGTTAACATTTTATAGTTTATAAAAAGTATCTTATCAATGTCAGTAATCATAAAAGATAAAAAACAGTCAAATATGAATACCCTCTTTATACGTAAATTTATTTTAACAGAAACACAAACAGTCCCAGTCAGCAAAACTATAAAAATTTATGTTATTCATTCATTATAAAATACAACATAATTGCTGGAAACATTCTTTTCTGTGAAAAATGTTCACATTATGGATTTACCTTGGTGTCCTCTTGCCTGAATGCACACTCTCGTTATCACCTGTGTTCAGTGATGCCAAAGAAAGGCTAGAGACTGAAAAAACACGATAAAGTCGTGATCCTGAATAAAAACAAAATTAGAAATTTAAAAGAAGCAACTAGAAAAGAGTCTGTTCATTAGATAACACCAGCATATGAAAACTGAGCTTCTGTAGTTTCTTTTCTTTTTTTTTACTTTTACTCTAAACACATAATATGCTTGCATGCATATATGCACAATTTATTTAGAATTAGCAGTGTACCTACTTTTAAGAAATAATGATAAAACTAATTGCTGTTAGGATTTATTCCAAAAGGAAAGTGGTAATATGAGACACTGATATTGTAACTGTAAGAAAAAAGTTAAGAAAAGAAATTAACAAAAAAAATAAAATATATTTAGGAATATTTAATTCCTATGTGGGAAATTAATTTACTAATTTTAGCCAGTACTAGGTATCAAAAAATTCTGTTGGCTAGAAAAGGCAGAGTTCTCTTTAAACAGTCAATGTTATATTATTTTTCCTCAGTTTTAAAGTAACTATGGGAATTCTCTATAAAGTTTTCCATGGGGTTTAGTTTTAATAAAATATATATTTTTTTAAAAAGTGAGTATATGTGCTAAATTTTAGGATACATTCTCTCAACTCCAAAAATTATAGATTTGGACGCTTGACCATTTCTGTCTTAAAGGAGGGACTCATGAACTCTTGCTTTTATATTCCTTATTATACCAATGGGTTTCTTATGTATTTCCATGCATACAGTGTTTATCCTTAAATGAACAAGTATGGAAACAGTATTAACAATTCAGAGAGATTATATCTGAGGGCAGAGTTCCCTGATAGGTTAGTATTTATACCGGATGCTTTAGCACTCACACGGGCTCTACTGAATATATGCATGCACACATAACACACTTAAGTCATAAAAAAACTACATTTGCTCATTTTGGTTTTCCAAATTAGCATGCATCATCTCAATTGTGTATCCAATTTAGCATACCAAAGCACAGTCAAGTTAGTATGATAAACCAGGCTGGTGTTTTTTTTATGAACAGACTCTTCATAATAAGCTGTGTTACCTGGAGGACCTTTTATTGGTGTTTTGGGAGACTCAATATGATCTCTGTGAATAGATTTTGGGCGCTGTTTCTTTTGTTTTGCTATTTGAGGACGGGGTTTAATTACTGTATCCATGTCTTCCATTAGTTTCAGTTGTTTTCGCCTCATATACTCCTGTCTGATAAATTCTCTGCGCGCTTTCTCATCTTCCTTCTTCTGACGCTCTTCCTCAGTTTTACGCCTAAGAAACCAAATGGTTGAATTTCTTATTCTGCACACTAAAGAGGGAGTATGGCTTTGATGCGAGAAGGGAGAATTATTACATTTCAGCACCTTGGGAAAAAATGGTTTGTTTAAAATACACTTGAGATAATTTAGATCACTAAAATATACATAAACATACCATTAGTAAATGACTGCTTTTAAAAAATATGTGTGTAAAAACCAGTGAAGTTATTTTAAATTAATGTTTCTGGAGAATGTTACTTTGAAATGCCTCAAACTTAGGATAAAAATGTACAAGCGACCAATACTTTGGGAAAATAAATTAACTTATAAAGAGCACCAGAAATCAGCATTAATTCAGTTGTCTCCATACGCTGCAAACGTCTGAACAACCTGTTAAGTATCCCTGAGAAAGCACAGCCCGGCTGCATACCCTCAGCACTCAGATCCAGGGCCCGCACGGCCCTAGCCTTTACCTCGTTTCCTCTTTCTTATGCTCCATCTCTGCTTCCAGCTGCTGTTTCCGAAGCTGAGTCTCCTTCTCCCTCCGCAGTCGTTTCTCCAGCAAAGCTGCCCGTTTCATTGCCATATCATTTTCTGCTTTTTGGTCATCCTAAGCATGGATTTCATTGAAAAACGTGTAATGTTGTGTGCACCAGTATTCTCATTTTCAACTGTGGTCACATTTATAACTGAAAATTCAAACTATCTAGTCATCCTTATTCCAATCCCACCATATGTGGACATGTTCCAGAAATTATGAAGGAAGAAGTGAATCAGGGGCGCCTGGGTGGCTCAGTCGGTTAAGTGTCTGCCTTCAGCTCAGGTCACTCAGTGGGGAGTCTGACCCTCCCCCCTACCCCTGTGTGCTCTCTCTCTCAAATATTTTTTTAAAAAGTGAATTAAAGTGGTAACAGTTCTATCAACTACCAAAGGACACTTACACTTACTTAATAACATGTTTATAAAACCTAGGAAGTTTGCAAAGAACCATAACAAGAAAAAAAAAGGGGCAGAGGTGTTTTTTTTGGACCCTAATAAATAACTTAAAAGCAGGGAGTTTTCCCTCAATTTTAAAAATTGCATTCAAACTAGGGCACCTGGCTGGCTCAATTGGAAGAGCACACGACTCTTGATCTTAGCGTCGTGAGTTTGAGCCCCATGTTAGGTGTGGAGATTACTTAAAAATAAAATCTTTTTAAAAATTCCATTAAAAATTGTATTTAAAATACATGCTCAATAAAGAAAACTCAAGTAAAAGTACCCAAAAATTAGCTATATGGTTATATCACATAAATGAAACCACTGCCGCATGACAGAATGGACATGAAGGTACAGATGTGCTGCCTGTTTCACCCTGAAGGATCCTCTCCCTTCCGTGTTCCTTTCTCTGCAAGGAACAGAGGTAGCCAGGGTCTCTAAAATTAGTAAACTGTTATCTATTTATGTCTACAGTAGCATTCTATTAAAAATTAGTCATTTTACATGGTTAAGAGACTAAACATGACTCACATTCAAATTTCTAAACTTTAAAAGGGGCTAAATGGCAATCACCCTGAGATCAACTTTAAAATAAATTACAAATTTCCAATATTAAATGACCAAAAGTAAAAATAGTGATTGTAATTCCTTCAATATTCTTGGGTTCTTATTCCAGTAGGACTGCTGTTTCAATTTAAAATCTTAAATTATAAACTGATGCTGTTGAGGGTTGTTTTTTTCCTCTGTATTCCAAATTGTGGAGCTAGACAGGATCAGAGTTGATCTTTAGTTCCTTAATTAAAAAAACAAGAGTAACACATCCATATGTTTCTGATTATTAAAAAAATATTCTTTCCTATAGGTAATTTGGAAAATACAAGAAAACAAAGATGAAGAAAATGGGTAATTAGGAGAAAAATTTAAAAACACTAAGCTCTTGTTTTTCTAATACCTATGATAAATTTTAAGATCTTGACCATCAAAAGGTGATACTGTTCAATATTTGTGTTGGCTGGCTACAGTATGTTGTATACAATATCAATATTGAGATTAGGAGTCATATGCTAGACCTTTGTCCAATGCTTTTAAAGGAGCTATTTCTGTTCAAACTATATACGTTATTTTTAAATGTTTCACCTTGCAAGGTTATGTCTGGTCAATTTTTTAAAAAGATTTTTAAGATTTTTATTTTTATTTATTTGTCAGAGAGCGAGCACAAGCAGGGGGAGTGGCAGGCAGAGGGAGAAGGAGGCTCCCTGCGATGCAGGACTCGATCCCAGGACCCTGGAATCATGACCTGAGCCAAAGGCAGACACTTAACCAATTAGGTTACCCAGGCATCCCTTAAAATTTTTTTTAAGAAACAAAACTTTTAAAAGGAAAGAAAATTAAAAAAAAACTAAAATATACTTACATGCAATGCCAAATTATGTGCTTTTTACAAACTGACAACTCTTGGAAGAGATCCAAATAGCTTAACATTTTTTTAAAAGGCTTTTATAAAAGCAAGCAAGAGAGGCAGAGCAAAAACAGCATATCTAAACATGTACCATGACCTTGGTGAAAAGAAGACTGTTCAGTGTGCTTGGATGTCACGACAAGACACCAAGGGGAGCCCCAAAATGTATTTCAGGGTTAGTGGCAGGCTTGTAACAAAAGGGACTACTATTAAAAGAGTACATCAACTAAACCAAACCCATCTAATGATGATGCCCAAAACGATGAAGATTAGTTATTACCTTAAAAAAGAATCCACAGCATACTTTCTGGTCATCATCAAATTGTTCTTTATCACTTTCTCCATCGTATTTTTCAACAGATACATCAGCCTTTTCAGGAGGTTTCAGATCTGAGAGGGAAACTTCAATCAGATTAACATTTTTAGGAGCAGCAGGTGGGAAAACAGGTTTAGGAGGAGGCTCTGCAGGCTGGTTCAGCTGGTCTTCATTTGGTGTCAGTCGGACGGTCTCTGTGATAGGCTGGGACAGGACTTCAGAAACTGTTGACTCAAGAGGCCTGATCTCCTTTTCTTCTGGGTTACGTACATGCTGTCCCGCAGGCCCTTTGGATTCCAGTTCTTCCTTTTTAACTTCTTCCTTAGGTTTGGATTCCTTTAACTGAGGCTCTCCGTCATCCCCAAAACATACAAATGACCTAGTCTGAATAGGAACTTGACTCGGTGAAAACCTCCGTAACCGAGGAAGACTATCCACAGACCTAGGGGGCGTCAGCGTTCGATTCAAAGGCGTTATTTTTAATTCATTTGGCCTAGGAGTCCTTTGATTTTTAACAGAAAAAGATGTGCTCTTCCTGTTGGAAGACTGTGGGGATGGATGGGTAGGACGGGGGGCATCTGACGAGAAGGGTGCACTGGCTGACGACAGGCCTGCCTGCCTGGAAGGTTTAAAATCTCGGATCTGTTTTTGTGGAGAGGGCTGAGGAGGTGAAATCACCCAGGACTGCTGCTCCCTCATCTGCATTAACATCTCCTGCTGAAGTGACAAGCGCTGCATTTCTTGTTGTAGAAAATGGAGAGATGAATTTAACTTTTCAATGGACTTTGTATATTCTAAGATCTCTCCCTCATTTAAAGTCTCCTCCGAGGGGCTTGCCAGGTTCCACTGCTTCTCTGGATCAATGGGTGTGGTTGGAGACTTCAGCCATTTGGCTTGAGGATTCTCCATGCTTTCCTTCAGATCCACCAAAGACTTACTCCTCTGTCCATTAGCCTTTTGTGAATCCTTTTCTTTTGCTCGATCGGTATACACTTTCTCATCTTCTGCACCGGCTGCTTCCTCTCGAAGAGGGGAAATGCCATCCCCTCTCTTTTTCACCACAGTAAGAAATGCCGTCCTTCCCATCTTCTGCCTCTGCTTGGTGAAAGCAGCCTCCATCTTCTTCTTCTGGGCTTCTATAGCGCGCCTCTTTTCTTCCAGTTTCATCCTAAGATGCACCATTTCAGAGGCCAACAGCTGGGTAGTGTCCCGGCCTTGTGGAAGGCCTGCTTCTTCTGGAATTTGTCCCCAAGCAACCACGTGCGGAATGTTAAGTTCAGAGCCTTCTGGCGTAGTTTTCTGAGAACTGCTCCCGCTACTTTTCCCATCAGTATGATTCAGTTTCCTGAATTTCTGTTCAGCAAAGCTGGTCATTTTAACTCCAGAACTAGAAGAAGCACTGCTACCTGGTTGAGACTTGGTACTTACAGTACTTGGACAAGGACTCAAAGCTTCTCTGGGGTTGCTGGTTCGAATATCATAATCCTGAAGAAATTTAGATGCGTCGTCCATGTCAGAGTCTAAGCTTACAGTGTAATCTCTCAAAGAAGAATCTTCATCCATGGTTTCCGGGATATCTTCTGAAGGAACATGAATTCCAGTGTCTACTTCAGTATTGTCAGTTATGGGACTCAAGGCACCTTTTGTATCAGTTATGTTATCAGGACTAGACTGATTTAGCTTGATGTTTGAATTTAGGATACTCATTTCCTGGTTATGAAGAAAGAAGCCATTAGCAATGTGGTCTGGCTGAGATGTATGGGGAGATTTTTCAGTATCATGAATTATCTGTAATGCTTCTTCAATGCTTGGTGTCTCAATCTGATTGCCAAACTCATCTAGGAGTACCCTATTTTGTAAAGCTCCATTTGGAAGCTTATAATGAATATTCTCATTGGAATTTAGTTCATTTGTATTAAGGGGCGTGTAAGATTTGAGGCCACTGTGAGAGTCTATATTAAGTTCTTCTTCAATGCTTTCTGCTTCCTCTTCTCCATTTACTGGCTTAAAGGACAAGTTTTTCCTAATATTTTTAGATACACGATTATTGTTCAGAGTAAGTCCTTCATTACTAATAGAACGAGTGATTCCTCGGTTTGGAGTGGATCTGTGTACAGTATTTTCTTTATCAAAAGAAATATCAAACGAAACTCCATGCACTGATGATCTAAAAAACATTTAAAGAAAAAAATTCTTAAACACACCCAGAAAAGAAATGATTTGATACCCTTTAACAATTATTTAAAATTATACTTCCTTTCTTTTCCCATTTCTCATAATCCTATTGTGCTCAAGGTAAATGTAGGGCTACTGGGCTGCCTTTAACATTTAGCCCCTTTGAACTCTCGGTCATCTGCCTACATTGCCCTTTTCAAAGTGAGGTACTAATTGCAAGTTGGCTATCAACAAAATAGAGAAAGAGAAAGAGAGAGAATTAGCATTTCTTTCTCTTTTTTAATTACTGAAGCATAGTTGACCATGTTATATTAGTTGCAGGTATACAATATAGCGATTCAATAAACAGCATTTATTGATAATGTGAATATACTAAAAATAATTCCCTTTGTTTACCTTTTCTCTTTGGGCCATGTCCCTATGAAACCATCAACATAGGACATAGATGAAGACCTTCTAATTCCTCCTTCAAATGCGAAAAAGAAAAAGTCATTGAAAGTATGTAAAAAATTTTAACTTACAGCTTAACAGATTTCAAATATTTCAGGATTCATTAAGAGCACTAAAAAGTAAGTAGGTGGGATATACAGAGAAATAGAGATCATTTTATTAGGAAAAGCAAGCACAGAGAAACAAATCAACCTTTTAGTGTATATATAACACTTTTCCAAAAGAAAAAGAAGACTAGATATTTTTATTTACATTTATTCTCAATCATTTCCCAGTTAACCTAGGTTTTTTCAAAAATACTACCTGAAGCTGAAGAATGAGCTTGGGAGCATGAATGTCTAGAAGGCAAATGATGAGAGTGTGTAAAGGCAGCTCCTTCCCCACTGCAATGTAAAATAAATTAAAAGTGTTTTAATATGTTTTAGTTCTTTAATATAAACTTTACACAGAATGGCTGAAATTAGAAACAACATTATCACCTCTGACTCTGCATCCTAAATTAAAAAAAAAGGAAACATTGTTTAAACCAAACGTGGCTGTGAGTATATGAATCTCTATGTATTTTATATCTTTTAGTCAAAGAGCCTGAAATATTTTCATACACACCTCAACGGCCTTGTGAGATAAAATATAGCCTATTATTTTCATTTTACAAATAGAAAAACAAATGAGTAAGTTAAATGAAAGTCATCAGTTGGAAATATTTAAGTCTCTAGAAACTACAGGTATAATAAACACTTGTAAAAGATCCTGACAGCCTCCCTGCTCACGGACCTGTGTCTGTACATCTCTAACAGTTACATCAATTAATATTAATATATAGAGCTGCACCTTGAAGACCTCAATGCCCACAAAGATAGGAAGCTTTCCTATTTCTTAATTCGACCCCATCTAAATTAATTCAGGGGATGAGGTAGTCTATTTCTCAAATTATCATGACATTTGGCCCAAATTTAATTTTTCTCCAAGTTTAAAGTCTTTTGTAGCCTACCTTATAGTCAAGTGCAGAAGTTACACATCCCAACCCCCAATCAATTGAGAATAACCCAACCCCCAATCAATTGAGAATAAATTGGGGAACAGAATGTATGTAGTGACTTCTGTAGTCCCCCTTCAAATGACATTATCTTTTGGCTATTGTAAACTGAGAACATGAACAAGTCAACCAAAAAAGGCAAATGAAACAACAATATTTTGCTCTTACTATTTAATGAAAGCTTAATCAGTGAGCTTTTCTAAAGGCAACAATACCTGGAAAACTTGCATAACCTTGTCTCCAAAGCAAATGCTTATCTGCTTCCGTGTGCCTTTTGCCCCTAAACTGCACATCATATTTTCTCTCAGAGGACTATCAGGAAATACTCACCTGCCCCCTATCATGTTTGTTTCTGTTATCCCTCCCTCTAAAATCACTGCCCCTGTTTCTACTCTCCCTTACATCTGACAGGAGGCTAATCCTGAAGATACACAAGTTCGTAATTAAAATATATTCACTCTCTTCTTCTCCAGATAATGGCTAAAGTGTTTTAAATTCCTATGAATTGCCTCACTTTCACATCTGCATAGAAAATTTTGATCTGGTGTAACTGCTGAGCAGGTTAGTAGTCAAGTGTGTGGATTAGCTGCTACAAACGTTTTTTGCTTTGCCTGTCTTCTCCCTTTGTTTTCCCCTCACAACTTCATTAGGGGCACTCACATTTGTACATGTGCCTGCATTATTCTCAGGAAGAGTGGAAACTTTTGTCTCCTTCCTGAAAAGTTCTACAATGGGAGAACTCCTGTGGACCACGTGGGGGCTTACAGAAATGAGAGGATTAGTAGGATCCTAGAATGACAGCTACACAGTGTCCCTTCAAGGAAAAGAATTTAGACATCCATCTGCTAGGAAAAATGAGTAAGGGCAGCCACTGAGATGTCTGAGAAACAGAAAAGAGAGGAGTCTTCCAGAGGGCCTTAAGACATTTTCCATTGTCAGAAATGTGAAGACGGTCCAACTAAGGTTCCTAAAAATAATAATTTTGGGATAATCTAGCCTCAAAGCAGAAAGTTTCAGAGATTTTAAAGATTTAATAGTACAAGAGTCATAACTAGAATGCTGAATGTTTTCTAAATTTTCAAGGAAGGAAATGTCACTATATAATCAACCCAGGAAAACACCAAGAAAATTAATGTGTAGAAAAAAGTTTCCTGTAGGAAAAAATATAGAGAAGCTCCTAGATCAGCAATATCCTAACTTAACCTCTTTTTGTAAAATCTCAGGCATAGTTACAGAATAGAAAACTTAGTGAACATAGTAAGACAATCCATAGTAGTAAATCAGAGGGTAGGGAAGGAAAATGCTTTCTTAATCTGTAGGAAGGACTTTAGAGACATCAGCCAGTCCAGAGGTAAGAAGCCCTACAGAGGCAATAAGAGTACTGAAAGGGTTCTGTCCAGGTTCCAGTTTTACACCCATTAGCACCCACTCGAGAGAGAAAACTTCTTAAATGTGTGAAGTGGGTGACAGCTCAGTACAAGTTCATATTTTTATGTTAAGCCAAGAATTCACAAAGAAAGTACTTTCAATTGCTTGTTCATCATTTTTAAAATGTAGTTTTAATGGATCTGCTTGGATTTCTGAAACACTGCAAAATACAGCAATTTTAAACTTAAAAAGATAAATTAGGAGTCCAAAGTCAATAAAATTTTAGGTTCTAATAAGTACACATAAAAAACTACTTATAGGATCTGCTGAAAAACATTTTAAACAAACTCATGTGTCTATCATATGTTTGGGTCAGAAGTCAGGATTATCCTGATAGTAAATTTTTACTTTGCTCTCCATTCAGTTCCTGATATGAAGAACTAAAGCATCACACATAAAGATTCAGTATTACAATAAACATTCTATTGTGATCTTTGTTTAGCTATAGGAACCAGCAAACAGCACAGCAAGGGAAACTACCCCGAAGATTAAAAAAATAAAAAAATTTAAAAACCCAAATACAAATTTAAAATTCCCCCCACCCCGAGGCTTATCATTTAAGCAGTTCTCAATGATAAACAAGTTTTACAGCAAAAATTTGGTTTTAAGTTGGTTATTTGAACCTCAGAATGTATTCTCCCACTTTTGAGTGTGATTCCTTAAAGCCTATTTATGAAACATTCTTTTCTGTGTAAATTCAATTACATTTAAGTTAAAACAAGCTGTAATACATGCTGTAAGCTAGTTAAAACTTACTTAGTTCAAAGTCCAACTGAAATTTTAAAAACTAATGAAATTTTATTTTGATTTCATTAGCAAATGGAATGGAAACAGTGAAAATGAAGTCATTCTGGACTCTACCTTGAAGTGAAGTCAGAACTACACGAACTGTCCAAGATGTTTGTTTTGGCTGCATTCAAGACAGGAATTGAAGGCATATCGTTCACAGGTTCAGCTACAGTAAAAGATAAAAGCCTCAAAATTATGTATTTAGCATGTTTCCACCATTAATAACTTCCATTTTCCTATTGTAGCATATTGAAAAATTTCTTCTTAAATAATTTTCAAAGGTAAAATTTAAAACTCTTCGAGTTCTGGCTTAAAAAAATTGATTAAGGCTAGCTGGGGGGAAGGAAGTGGGGGGAGGCCTAACATAAAAAATAAATACAGGTATTTAAAAATAAATCTGAGTGTCTAATTTTGCTAAAGCTTTCATAGAACTTCAGTTACATATGGTAATTTCTTTATGAAATATTTGATATTCTGGTAGTCAATTAAGAGAGACAGAATTTCACTGGTCAATAATTAAACCCCCCGTAGAGTTCATATTTTTGTAAATAACTCTGGGGAAGACTCCATTTAAGTTTTGCCTTTGAGACCTAATGTAATAGCTGTTGAATATTTTGAATAGTGGGCTTCACAGATAAAAATCACAGAACACAGTGTAAGTGAAAATTCTATATTAATTATAAAAAGTTGTACAGATATTGTTTATGATAATTACTGAAGACACCTGACTTTATTACATGGCCTTAAGAAAGGATCTTAACTTCTTTGTAGGTATTCTTTGATACATAATGGTTCAATAATCAGAATCTGCCCTAAGCAGCTTAGAGATGGAACAGATGAAATACTCTTTATTGCATAGTTCACAGAATTTTGCCTGAGATGCAGTGGGCATGCTGGAAGCAAGCTCATTCTACTCACTACAGTGACATGCCTTTCTCTTGACTACATATTTTTTCCTCCTTCCTGATCTTTTTGTTTTCTTTAATTTTTTTGAGAGGGAGGAGATAGAGGAGAAATAAGGGTAATGGTGAGAAAAATATCAAAATCTGGAGCCAAGGAAAGCAGCTAAGTAGTTGGGATGCACAATAATCGTGTTTTGTGTTTGGCAGGACAGCCATTGGCAGCAGAAAGAACTGGTCCCGTAGTTATGGTGGAAGAAAAGTTCTTTAGTGGAGCTAAACTTATAATTTAAAATCCTTTTTCCCCAAGAGGAATAAACCTCTGGTTTCATGATGGAAGCCAAAGGAAAATTTGTTTTAGAGAGAATGCAGGAAGATTTTTTGTTCTTTATTTCTAGGGATCTTTACAGTGACCCCTTTATTTTTTAGTTTTCTTATATGCAATCAATAGATCATGATATATAATAATCATAAAACATACCAGACTTAAAAATATGTATATAAACCTTTTTATGGTTTAATGGTCAATTCAAATTGTAGGTTAAAGCCAAGACATCATTTAAGTGGATTCTGGGTAGCAATATTAAAAACTCAGCATCTAATGGAATAAAAGCTAGAGATGGGGGTAAAAGATGCAAAGAGAGGAAAGTAGGCCAAGAGTTGAAGCTAAAAATTCCACAACATAAGGCTTCAAATTCAGAGCTGTTCTCTCCTACATCATCTGTCTCACAGAGAATTTAGTAGCTTTAAATATTAAAATATTCAGAATTTATCAAGGCTAATAGCTGTTTTATAACAATAATAGGATTCCCTCGAACAGAATAACCAGGGGAGGTTGGATAAACTCTCCATTTTGTTTGTTTCCAGGAACACCTACTACCTCCTTGCGGACGAATGACACGAGGCTGCACAAATGAGGGCTTCACAACTTCGAACCACCAGAAGAGCTCTGCCATGAACACCAAGTAGTTACTCTACATAAGAGAGTTAAGAAAAGGAGAAAAATCAGGTAAGATTTGACCAGAAAGTGATGATAAATACAATTTTATTCTGTTTTACCTATTAAAATAGGTTTAAATCTCATTCCTTCATTGGAGTATATCTAATCTAGGCTATTAAATCTGGGATAGAAAATTAATGCTTATAGGGAAAATTTATAACAGCTATTCAAAACCTCTTTGCTGCTTTTCTCTATATTTCCAGAAATATAAACTGAACAGTAGTCCAGTTTATGTGGCAGGCATGGGTACCTCTAACCGTAGAACTCTGAGATAACGTATAAGGCACGCTTCATCCAAAGTCAATACAATATAAACAACTTAAACAGCCTCTGACACTCTGAAGAGTGGCTATCATTTAAAAAAAAAAAAAAAAAAACTCTTTCCAGATCCCTAGAAATTTCTCCAAAACTTAATCAGGTATCCATGTGCTTGATGATGCTAAACTCAACTGTAATCCAGGCACTAAATAACAAAAAGACTCTACATTGTTATGGCTAATTAATAATTTTGAAACATACATACAGAAACATTATACAATTTAATATATCAACCTAACTTTGAAAAGTTATTAGTAAGTTAACAATGTCCTTTGCCTTTTGATTTATATTTGAAAATGTGAATAATTTTTAAAATATCTTAAAATTATAAGAAAAGACTGAGGGTCCTCAAAAGCACATTTCTAAAACAAGCTTATATTTTAGGATCATACATCATAAAAGCTATAAACATGAAGAATTACTTTAATTGTAGGCATCTGGTAAGTTTAAAAATTAACACTATACAAAATCTGCTTTATAATTATTTAAAATACTATGCCTTTAAATTTGGCATCTAATAAAATTATCAAGTTAATATTTAATGAGGTTTTATTTCATATTAAATTTTAGTTTTGAAAATTATCATTGGAAATATGGGTGTTTTCCAATACCATGCCTTCCTGTTTTGTTGTTGTTGTTGTTGTTGTTTTAAGATTTATTTATTTATTTTAGAGAGTGAGCCATGAGTGGAGAAGGGCAGAGGGAAAGAATCTCAAGCAGACTCCCTGCTGAGCGAGGAGCTGCCCAGGGGCTCAATCTCACAACCCTGAGATCATGACTCAGCCAAAATCAAGAGCTGGACACTAAAACGACTGAGCGACCCAGGTGCCCCACTCCTACCTGTTAATTATGAATAATCCTCAAAGCTCTATATACTCTCATTTAGAGTTCATCTACTGTTTTCTCATATTTAAGCTGGTAACTTTCAAATATTCATCTTTTACCTGATAGTTCAAGAAGGCTATTGTGTATGTAGAAAAGAGACGAATCAAGGGTAATTCAGGTTTTTGTCTTCAGCAACTGATGGTACCATTTAATGAAATGGGAAAGATTGGGATAAATAGGTAGTGGAAGGAATCCTGAGTTAATAGCTTTGAGATATTCATTAGACATTTAAGTGGACTTGTCAGTAGGTGTTTGTAGGAGTCTGGAATGTTATAGAAGATAAGGCGTAATGGTGAACAGAATTTGGTAGGTTTCCTACTTTCAGCATTTGCTTTTAACTATAAATTCCCAGAATATTCGAACACTTATAGACAATACTATTTTAAGCAGTTGTTATAATTTGTGATTTTTTTTTAGAAAGGAAATGAGAATGCTCACAATCCCAAAGGCTGTGTGTTGGATTCCATCCCAACTTACCATCAGAAACTTTACATTCTTAATTATTTCTTTCTCCTATATATTCTTCCCTTCAACTGAATTCTTCCTACTTAGCTTTTAAACATGCTCAAATCTCCCAAATATAAAACAAAACCAAACCACTCAGTAAGTTTCTCCTCACTCCCACCCTCTTACCGCTTCATAAACTTCTCTAAGGTAGGCCCATGTTAACAATCTCCTTTCAGCCTTCTGGCTCCCTCATCCACTCCAATCTGGCATCCAGGCACATCCTTCCTCCAAAACAGCACTTGCTCAAGTCACCCATGACTTACATTTGTTGCTAAATCAAACAGATTTTTCAGTCTTCATCTCATTTGACCTCTCAGCAGCATTTGATACTCCTGATGTCTCCCCTCATTGAAAACCGCCATCCATGCTCATCAGCTACCAAATGACTCCCAAATGTATTAACTGTACTTACATATGCAGTGGCCAAGAGAGAGTTTTCTCTTGGATATCTCAAAGGCACCTCAAATGTCTGGAATTGAACTAGTGATCTTCCCCACAAATCTGACTTTATTCCAGTTTTACCTCACTGAATGGCATCACGATTCCAGTGTGCAACCATCAAGGATGCCTCCTACTTTCTCCCTCCCCCTATCCAGTTCATCACCAAAGCCTGCAAATTTTGCATCCTAAATATTTCTGGAATCCACCCACTTCTCTTCATCTTCATCATAATTACTGATTCAAACTGTTTCCATTTCTTGTTTAGAACACAACAGCTTTTTATTTGATTATTAGGCCAAACAAAATTTTCAAAATGTAGCACCCCTCCCCCCACTTCCACTGCTTTTGGGAAACGGACTATGGGCTACAAGAGGGTAGAGGGTACATGATTGGGTTCCTTTTTAATTTTAATTTCTCCAGTTTCATTTAATACCACATTCTCCAGAGTTCCTCATTTTACCCATCAGACTATTAAGTTAGAAGGACAAAGCTCATGGTCATCATTTTATCTTCAGATTTTTTTTAAAAGATTTTATTTATTTATTTGTCAGAGAGAGAGAGACATAATGAGCACACAAGCAGGGGGAGCAGGAAGAGGGAGAAGCAAGCTCCCCGTTGAGCAGGGAGCCCGATGCGGAACTCGAACCCAGGACCCTGGGATCATGACCTGAGCTGAAGGCAGACGCTTAACCAACTGAGCCACCCAGGCATCCCCTGTATCTTCAGTTTTGTTGTTGTTGTTTTTTTAAGATTTTATTTATTTATTTGACAGCGAGAGAGGGAACACAAGCAGGGGGAGTGGGAGAGGGAGAATCAGACTCCCACCGAGCAGGGAGCCGGAGATGCAAGGCTCAATCCCAGGACTCCGGGATCATGACCTGAGCCGAAGGCAGACGCTTAATGACTGGGCCACCCAGGCGCCCCTATCTTCAGTTTTTAAAACAGTGCCTAGGACATAATAGATGACCAATACATACTTATTGAATGAGTGTATAAATGAATGAATAAATGTGTAACAAAAAAGATCAGTTGGCAAAATTCCAAACTGTTGACAAGGCAGGGAATATCTCTGGTAATAAGATCATCATGATTTATAATTTTTCTTTATACTTATCTCCAGAGGATATTTTCTAAAGCCAAAGTATAAAACTATATTTAAAGTATTGGTCCTAGGTTCCACTCTACTAGTATAGTTAACTGAAAGCTGTCTATATCTTTTGGAAAAATACTAACACTCAACTAAATATTTTAAGGACATATCATTAAACATGAGAGAACTGCAAATCTAAAACCACAATGCAATATTACTTCACAACTGTTAGAATGGTTATCATCAAAAAGATAAGAGTAACAAGTGTTGGCGAGGATGTGGAGAAAAGAGGACCCTTGTACACTGCTGGTGGGAATATAAACTGGTACAGCCACTATGGAAAACAGTATGGCAATTCCTCAAAAAAATTAAAAATAGAACTACCATATGGATCCAGCAATTCCACTTTTTGAAAACAGGATTGAAGAGAAATCTGCATTCCTGTGTTCACTGCAGCATTATTCACAATAGCCAAGATACATATGGAAACAGCCCAAACGTCTGTCAACAGATTAATGGATAGAGATGTGGTGCATATATACAGTGGAATATTATTCAGCCATGAGAAAAAAGGAAATCCTGCCATTTGCAACAACACTGATGGACCATGAGGGCATTATGCTAAGTAAAATAAGTCAGACAAAGACTGACTATAAATTCTGTAGGATTACACTTATATGTGAAATCTAAAAAAACTGAACTCATAGAAACAGAATAGAGTGGTATTTACCAGGGACTGAGGAAACGGGGAGATTTTGGTCAAGGGGTAAAAACTTCCAGTTATAAGTGAATAACTGGGAATCTAATGATTATGGTTAACGAGATACTGTATTGTATACTCAGAAGTTGCTGAAAGAGATCACCACAAAAAGGAAATGGTAAATATGTGATATGACAGAGGTGTCAGCTAATCCTTGGTAATCACTTTGCATGCTTTAAACTTATACAACGTTGTATGTCAATTATATCCAATAAAGCTGGGAAAAAATACTTTGGTAAGATACTAAGTTTGGCCACAAGATGTCAGCATAGTAAGAGATAGTTTTCCCAAGTAACCAAAGCTTATAAAGATCATTTCTTCATGAATTTATGATGATGAAACAGCAATAAATCTGTTACCATATTCTAGGCATGATACCAAATAAATTTCACTTAAAAGCTTTCCTTCCTTTTAGTTAAGACAGTCATGCAACTATATATTAACATTCTTAAATAATATAAACAATGCAGAAGAATACATATATACAGAACATGGAATATAAAGTATGCTTCAACTACTCTCCTCCAAATCCTAATATCACACTCAGAAGAAACCACTGTTAAGTTTTGTGTTTATCCTTCTAATCAACCTTTTTCTATGCAAAGATTTGCATACAAATAGAAAAAAATTGTTTTTAATATATAAATTACATCATGCTATAATGGTTGCTACCCACTTTCTTCACTTAATAACATCTTGGAGAGCTTTCCGGATCAGTAAAAAATACCTACACCTTCTTCCTTTAAACAGCTTGAATGTATTACAAAAATACTTTGTGTCCCTCCTAAGATGAACTGTTTCCAACTATTAGTCTTAAAATATTCAATGGAAGTCAAAGTTGTGGTTCTAATAATTTAATAAATAATACAGAAAGTGACCAAAGCCGTTTCTGTAGACAGTTACCTATTTTTTTTTCTTAATCCCCTTTACTTCACCCATCCTTCTACCCACCTCCCTCTGGCAACCTACTAGTTTGTTTTCTGTATTTAACAGTCCGTTTTTGTTTTTGTTTTTAATTTGTCTTTTTGTTCGTTCACTTGTTTTTTTAAATTCCACATATAAGTGAAGTCATATGTCTTTCTCTGAATGATTTCACTTAGCACTATACCCTCTAGGTCTATCCATGCTGTTACAAATGGCAAGATCTTATTCTTTTTTTATGGCTGAGTAATATTTGTGTGTGTGTGTGTGTGTATACACCACATCTTAATCCATTCATCTGTAGATGGACACTTCGGTTGCTTCCATATCTTGGCTATTGTAAATAACGCTGCAATAAACATAGGGGTGTATTTATCTTTTCAAATTAGTGTTTTCATTTTCTTTGGGTAAATACCCAAAGTGGAATTACTGAATTCTATTTTTAATTTTTTGAGGAACCTCTATACTGTTTTCCATAGTGGCTTATCAGTTTGCATTCCCACCAACAGTGCACAAGGGTTCCTTTTTCTCCATATCTTCACCAACACTTTTATTTCTTTTCTTTTTTACTCTAGCCATTTTGACAGGTGTCTGTCAGTTATCTATTTTAAATATGCCTGATTTAAGAAAATGTCTTTGTATGTAGATCATGCTCAGACTAAGTCAATTTAAACATCAGGGCTATATATTATTTATTGGAATTCCAAGGAAAGCAACTTAAACAAATGTACTCGATCTTATGTCTCAATGTATTTAATGAAATGAATTCTTTGAGATTATAGAGGTAATATTTAAATTTTTTAAAGGCAAGTATCAGAACAGGCATTAACAAGATATATATGGAAATAATTATTTCCTATCTTCCATTTTGATAAAAATGGCAAGGTAGAACCTTCAAAATAAATGAATGTTTTTCTTCTGATGTGTCAGGTAGTGGGGAGTGGGCCCGTGTTGGGTCAATAGGAATAGTGGCTTATTTTGGAAAGGCCTTTACCTGTGGCTCTTTCTTCTACCTGTGGTGATCCAGAAGTGGGTGAAGGAAAAAGAGATCAGAAAGTAAGAACGTCAAGAACCACGAGGCACTAGTATCATGGTAAAAGGGGTCCGTTAGCAGTTTCTATTAAAGTTGATATTGGAACTGTGAGTAGAATGATACAAAGTTATTCCTCTCAGCCAGACTTAAAAAAAATCTATTATAAGATTATTCATCCTTAAAACCCTAAAGCAGAACTGGTAAACTTTAGGCAGGTCTGTAAGAGATATGAAGGAACTTTGTAGCTATGAGCTGCTGGGAATACCGGGGTATTAAGTCACATCACAAAATTCTGGAACAAGCAGCTGCTTCTTAACTTGCAGCTCAGAAGCAGTTACGCATGACACATGTCTCTCTTCACCACTACAAAGTAAGTTCCACCAGCACATGGAACTTACCAACACAGGATGTTGGTTTTATTCACTTAATTATCCCAACCACCCCGAACCTTACTAGGTGCTCAATAACTATTTCTTGAAAGAACCAGTGAGCATGGCCTACAGCTCAAAGGCAGTGTGTGGTATTCTGAAGCAAGGGGACAAATTCATGAAATTGAATTCCTTTTTAAAAGGTTCATTTCCAGACTATTTTAACATTTTCCTTCCCCTTTTTCTTTCCCTAGGTTTTGTCTCAAGTCCTGGGACCTTAAGGATTCCTTCTTCCCATATTCCACAGTCCTGTTGAATGCTGAAAGTGACCAGAACTTCCGTTATGCTCCCAGCATACTATCATAGCATCTGTCTAAGATTCAGAAACATGTAGTGGCTTAACCTCTATTTTGCTAACTTTAGGACAACAGGTCAGTTTTGAGAAAAAAACCACAACTTTTAAGTTTAGTTTTGTCTTGTAAAAGAAACCTGTAGCTAACAGTGCGTTAAAAACCTAAAATAAGCAGAAAAATAAAACTTTTTCCAAAAGTTCTTTTGACTGATATTAGTTAATTTGTAAGCTTATAGTGACTATGCCATTTATATATCTAGTTATATTTTTTTTTCAAAAACCTCAAAACAAAACAAAAACACCAAGAATTATTTAATTTACCTTTATGGATGAAGCAGCATACAGCATATCTTCTAGGGTGAAATGGCAACACTGGTTCAAATATTCTTGGCAAAATTCTTGAATCAGCTGCAGATTATACAGGCTATCAGCCAAAGACATGGTTTCTTTCAAACAAATATCTTCAAATAGGAAAAGAGCAAGGTGATGACTGTGGGTTAATTTGATAATATACATTTCATATCTATCTTATAGTTAGTGGCTTAATACAAATACACAATTATGTGGAATCTGTTTTACAAACACATACAAATAAATATAGGGGCTGCTACACAGAAAGACTTAGCACTGCTTTACTAAACTATCTTCCTCAGGATTATATATAAATTTTTTTTAAGCCCTCATTACTTATTAAATACTGTTGTCTCAATACTTGTCACCATCTATCTAAATCCCAGAAATATTTCACTGGAACACTTACCCTCTAATCTGACAACACCAGGACAGTAAAAATGAATAAGAGCAGCTAAAGCACAGCCGTCTGTACCATCTTTCAACAAATTTTCTACCAACGGAATGCAGGGCAGTTGCTTGAGCAATGTCTGCTCCTTCCTATAACGAGCCTACAATATAAAAAAAAAAAGAGAGATGAAAATAAATAAATCCTAAACAATATACAGGAAAAAAATAGCATTGTAGATTCTAATGTACCAGTAATATACGCCAAGAGAAATGAGAATTATTCAGCAACATCCTTCTTTTCTAAATAATACTAGACATTACTTTACCAAAGTAAAATACAGAGCAACAGCATTATAGTTTCAAAGTACTTAATATAACATTATATTGCCAATTTACATGAAATGACCTTTAAGCTAAATATTTAAATATAAAAGCATCACAAAACAGATTCTGAACATTTTGTATCCAAATCATCAGTTATGTTCTTTTGTAGATAATAAAATACATTTATTTTAATGCTGGACTTAATTTAGACCACAAGTTCTTATATGCGAAGAGCAAGAGTACTACTAGAGCATAAAGAATTATAAGAGTTCTCAAAATTGGGGAGCAGGTATAAGAATACGATACTATTCTTACAGGAAATTTGGCAATAAGAAACATCACTTTGAGGAACTAGAATATCACCAAAATATTCTGGTTTGGTATTTGAATGTTAAGATAATGTAAATAAAATATAACAACTTTGAAACTGAAAAAACCAACCCAACTGAGGTTTCATTCACCAATAACAGAGCAAATATAAGGATTTCTGCTCCCCCTCAGAAAAACAGAAGAAATCTTTGTTTTTTAAAGACTGCTTGGTGTGACTGGATACAAATTTATAAGACAGTTCTCTAAAAATGAGACATGCTCTTAAGTCAGATTACCTGGGTTCAAATCCTGGTTCTGCCACTTACTAGCTCTGTGATCTTGGACAATTACTTAAACTCTCGTTTCTCAGTTTCCCCATCTGTAAAATGGGGATAATAATAGTACCTACTTGATAGTACCACTGAAGGATGAAGTAAGGTGCTAGGCACACTGCTGGGCACATAGTAAGCAATAACTAAAGGTTGGTCTGTTATTAGCTGTCAGCTCTCCTAAAGCCAAGGAAATAAAGCTGAAGACTTAATGAAAATGCATACTGAAGTATTTTATTAGAAAAATTTATGATTATATTCATTACTGGTATTTAAAGTTTTTTTAAAGTAACCAAAACTAATTTTTCTTCTAACTCCATCTGAACTGGTTATCTATATTTTATAATTAAAATATAATTATGAGGGGTGCCTGGGTGCCTCAGTCGTTAAGCGGTTGCCTTCGGCTCAGGTCATGATCCCAGGGTCCTGGGATCGAGCCCCACATCGGGCTCCCTGCCCCGTGGGAAGCCTGCTTCTCCCTCTCCCATTCCCTCTGCTTGTGTTCCCTCTCTCGCTGTGTCTCTGTCAAATAAATAAATAAAATCTTTAAATATATATATATTATGAAATAAAATACTTTTGTGAGAATAAAAACATAAAAATAATTTACTGAAAGGAAACATTTACTTTGTGGTGGTAAGGTTAAACTTCCTTTAAATGATATCCCTCAGAAAAGTATATGGATTAATGAAGAAAGAAATATTTATTCCTATTTCTCTCTGGCTACCCAAGAACAAGATTCATGGAACATTTTTTTCCTCTTGAAATACTCAGAGAGCTTATTCTTTTAATCAGTGCACACTAGACATCTGTATTTAATGGTATGTTCCAAACTCAAGAGTACCTATATTCAGAAAAAATCACATACACACACTATATAAATTCTTTAACTGATTACTGATTTTAATATCCTTAGAAACCTTCCTCACTTTGCTGCTAGTAGAGTTTAAAATTCAACCATGAAAAAAGAGCAGAGAAGTGAAGGGAAGGGTGAGAAAGAAGAAATCAGCCAGTAGCATCTTCTAACCTCAAGTTACCCTTCTCACATTTAGTAAGCCACAGTTCTAGATCCTTACACTCCTTTCTCTGGCCAGCTAGAAACAAAAGAGTCTCCCTCTTAGAAATCCTCTAACTTGGCTGGCTGGGCTCATTCCCAAACTTCCCAGATCTCCAGGAGTAGCCTGTTTGCAGCCTGTAATCTGAACTGGACTGAGCTGAGCGCCAGGGTCATGGAATAAAAGACTGAATTGTGATTTGTCTTACTGCTCTCTGCCAAGTAGCACTTCTATACAAGGCACACACACATACACAGAGCCTTATAAGGCTTTAGCAATAAATGTAGATGGTTTAGAATAGACTGATTATTTGGGATTTATGAGAGGCATGCTAAAACATTTTCTTGAAGATTATATCCTAAAAGATGTTATCAGGTAAATCAACTTTTAATCTTGAAATCATGTACAATTCCCATTTGAAGTTCATGAAAGTTGTCATCTTTTATACTTGACCTTATTATATGGTTTTATAAACTTGCTGTATGGAAACATTCCCTGTTCTTTCTACAAACAGAAATCTGATATTTAAAAGGGGCATTGTATTTTCTACCTTCCAAAAACTACTGTGTATTTCTAAGTTATATATTTATTTCTGAGGGCATAAAATACTTCTTAAGTGGCCTAACCACCCAGATTTAATCCTTAAAGAACAACCCTTCAGGTCAAATCAGAACCAAATATAGTTTAGATCTAATACTGGTATGGCCATTGAGAAAATGTCTCTTTATCACACAAAAAGTGTACCCTATAACTCAGGAAATGATTCCTTAAAAGAGATTTAAAAATACAAGTAATTTACATGTGCAATTCATATTTACTTTTCCTGAAGTTATTAAAACTAGTAAGAATCTCTATCCATGCATGTTTTTAACCTAGTTACTGACAGTCTGTAAAATATCAACAGGACAAACAAAAGAATGCTTATGCTTTAAACTACTTTTAAAGCTTCTAATCCAAACTTTGGCTAGATTTTTTAATCTTTTTATTTTATATTATGATCAAATACCTTAAAATCCAATCTCAATGCAGTAACTAACAGAATTATATGAAATGACTATACCAGCAAGACATAAACAATACCATTCTACAATTCTGGAGAGCAAATTGAAGTAGCTGGGCAAACTTACTGGAACCAGTTTCCAAAACCATTTGGAAGGAGACTTCAGAGGAAGCAGTGGGGAAAAAAGGGAAAGCAAAAGGTAAAGGGAAAATTCATCAGAATGATTTTTAATTAACAAGTGACAGTAAAGCTTCTGATAGTGGAGTTCCAAATTTATAGTTCTCATATTTTTAAATGTTAATTAATATTTTAAAATATATAGGTTCCTAATGATAAAGACTTCTACCTTCTCCTCCCATCATCTCCTCTCCCAACACAATTCATTTTTCAGATGCTCAGGATTTCTGTGTACTCTGGCAGCAAAGAATTTTATTCCCAAGTTCTAGAATCACACATCATATTAAAAAGTAAATCTGTATCACAAAAGGGAAGTAGAAAGATTCCAGGGCTGGATTTGCAGTCATTATAATGCTTAGAAATAGTAAACCAAGTCTGATATGGCAGAGTTTCTTTCCAAAGAGAAAAGAAGACTATATCAGTAAGTGTATGAATAAAGCAAATAGCACTGTAGACTTGAACAAGATAATCATTTCAACTATATGAAGAATTTCTTTTAATTAATGGGATAGTGGCAATTCCTACTAAGATTTTTAGTCTCTAAAGCACGTAGCTACTTACATAAAGAGAATATGTGTTATTAATTTTACTATCTAGAGGTATCCCCAAAAATATAATTTTACTTTAAAACGAATAAACTCAGTTAATTTCAGTTAATATAAATTAATAATTTGTGATTATCTTTATATTTCCCAGCACAATCTCTAACAGCCCTGAATAAACATTTACTGAACAAACCAAATTAAATGGGGTCTGAGTTAAAATTCACGTTCAACTTTTATGTAGAAAGTTTATTCTGCAGCAGTGCCTGGCTGGCTCAGTAGGTAGGGTGTGTAATTCCTGATCTTGGGGTTGTGAGTGCAAGCCCCACGCTGGGTGTAGGGATTACTTAAAAATAAAATCTTTAAAAAAAAAAAGGTTTTCCTACATAAAATTAACTGTAAAAATAAAATTATTTGGAAAATAATATAAATTTTTCAAGAACTTCAAGAATCAGAAAAATGTCACCTCAAGAATCAGAAAAATACCAACTTTCCATAAAGAGAGAACATGTCCAATAAGTTTTCTTTATTGCATCAGGAAGAATAACCTTAATAATTTTGTTACATGTATTTTAATCTCTCATTTAACCAGAAGTTTTGGGCAGCTGCAATTATGATAACCATAAAAAGTACAAGAACAGAAGCAAAGGAAGCCACTGAAAATGTGTCAGGATCCCAATGTATAGTAGAAATTTCAAAAACAGGGGTTTTCTTGTTTTTGAG